TCCCTTGCATTTTGTTTCCCTTCTCTTCTCTATTTGTAAGACCTTGTTGGACCTTCTTGCATTTCCTTTTCTTTCGGATGGTTTTTGTTGTTGCCTCCTGTACAATGTTACGAGCCTCCTGCCATAGTTCTGCAGGCACTCTGTCCACCAAATCTAGTTCCTTAAATCTGTTCTTCACTACCATTGTATATTCATAAGGGATTTGGTTTAGATTATACCTGACTAGACCAGTGGTTTTTCCTACTCTCTTCAGTTTGAGCTTGAATTTTGCTATAAGAAGCTGATGATCAGAGCCACAATCAGCTCCAGGTCTTGTTTTTGATTACTATATAGTTTCTCCATCTTTAGCTGCAGAGAATATAATCAATCTGATTTAAGTATTGCCCATCTGTTGATGTCCATGTGTAGAGTCGCCTCTTGTGTTGTTGGAAAAGAGTGTTTGTCAGAACCAGCTTGTTCTCTTGACAAAACTCTATTAGCCTTTGCCTTGCTTCGTTTTGAACTCCAAGGCCAAACTTACTTGTTTCTTTTATCTATAATGACAAGAACATCTTTCTAGATGTCAGTTCTAGGTGTTGTAAGCCTTCATAGAATTAGTCTATTTCAGCCTCTTCAACATCGGTGGTTGGTGCATAAACTTAGATTGCTATGATGTTGAAAGGCCTGACTTGGATTCATATTGGAATCATTCTATCATTTTTGAAATTTGTATCCCATTACAGCTTTTCGCACTCTTTTGTTGACTATGAGGGCTACTCCATTTCTTCTACAGGCTTCTTGCCCACAATAGTAGATATGATAATTGTCTGAACTGAATTCACCCATTCCTGTCCATTTTAGTTCACTGATGCCGAGGATGGCAATGTTTATTCTTGCCATCTCCTGTTTAACCACATCCAGCTTACCGAGGTTCATAGATCTTACATTCCAGGTTCCTATGCAGTATTTTTCTTTGCAGCATTGGACTTTCCTTTCACTTCCAGCCACGTCCACAGCTGAGCGTCCTTTCGGCTTTGGCCCAACCACTTAATTAGCTCAGGAGCTACTTGTCCTTGTCCTCCACTCTTCCTCAGTACCATGTTGGATGCCTTCCGATCTGAGGGGCTCATCTTCCAGCGTCATATATTTTAGCCTTTGTTTCTGTTCATGGAGTTTTCTTGGCAAAAATACTGGAGTGGCTTGCCAGATCCTGCTCCAGGTAGACTGCGTTTAATCAGATCTCTCCACTATGACCTGTCTATCTTGGGTGTCCCTGCACGGCATAGCCCATAGCTTCTCTGAATTACTCAAGCGCCTTCGCCATAGCAGGGCAGCAATCCGTGAAGGGAGTTTGGAAAGTAGGGCCTTCCAAATGTTGAACGGTCTGAGGAAGTGGACTTAATCATGAAAGCTCACATTAAAATATAGCAGTTAGTCTTTAAGTTGCCATAACATTTCTGTCTTCCTTATTTTTTACTTTTCTTTCGCTTTTGCCTCAGAAGTTTTAAAGAAAGCAAACTGAGACAGCACATCAGAATCATTGTATTTCAATATGCAAAATAAACATATTTTAACAGTGTCACACAGTTTCCATCCATGTTCCCTCATCTTGCTCCCATATTGATTTCTTCAGCTTTAAATATATATACCATCCTTCAGGTATAAACATTTCCATACAAATATAATAAGAATAAAATAATATACAGTAATGGAATTGTTTTTGCTATGTGCTGTCATGTCGCCTCCCAACTTATGATGACCCTATCAGCGATCTCCAAGAAGCCCAGCCTTCAACAGCACTGCCAAGTTCTTGTACACTCAAGGCCATGGCTTCCATTAGGGAGCCAATCCATCTAGTATTTCGTTTTCCTCTTTTCCTGCTGCCTTCAAATTTTTGCCTTTTCAAGCGAAACACGTAATAGAACAATTGAACACTGGCTATGACTTTAAAACACTCTCTAATAACTTGGACTCAGGCTATCTAAAGGACCTTTTCCCACATGAGTCTGTCTGGATTAAGATCTTCTGAAGAGATAATTCTTTCTGCCCTACCATCACAGGTATATTTGGTAAGTACATGAGACAAAAGTTTCTTGGTGGCTGCTCCCAAGGTATAAAATTCATTCCACAAGAAGTTGGCTAAGCCAGCCTCCCTGTTGTCCTTCTGGCAGCATGCAAACATATTTTTATTTGGCCTCAACAGCATCAGGCATACAGAATCAACCAGTATATTTTCTTCATAGTCGATTATAGGGTATCACCTGTCCCTATATTTGGATTGTTTCCACGACCATGCTGCCTGCTCCTGGTTTTTCCTGTCATATTTGCAGTATCTCCTGTGCAAATTAATAGGCATCGCATAGCGACTTTTAAGAAGTGGCCGCCTGCTTCCTTTCGGGATCGTTAAAGACTCAACCGGAGCAAAGACATTATGAAGCTTAACTCTCTCATTTCTCTGTGTTGCAGCGAACGGCGCTTGCATATGAATCACCACCGAACTTAAGGCAGAAACTGCAAAAAGCGGGCCCCACTGAGGGGGAGGCGAGCTCCGGACAAGGCTGTGCCCGGCCCTTCATTGCCGGCGGTGGAGGCGCAGCGCCTGCAGGAATTTCCCTCCCTCCTTCCCTCCCTCTCTCCCTGCAAGCACGGGGGCCCCGCAGGTGACCCTCGTGACGGCCTCCCGCTCAAGTCACACGCTTGGGATCCGAGGGGCCCATCCTGGGGCGGGGAGGGGGGGGTCGCCTTTCCCGACCAATAGGGGACGGTTTAGTCTGGCCAGGGCTCTGCCTCGATTGGAGTAAACGCTTGTCGCTCAGTCGAGATTTCGGAGGTGGAGAAGGCGGCGGCGCAAAATAGCGGCGAAAGTGGAAGTTCGCGGGGCGTTTGGGGGCGAAACTGCGCAGCGCAAAAGCCGCCGCGGGAAAGACGACGGTCGGCCAAGGAAGGACTTTGGCGGCCGCCGGTAGGAAACGGCGCAGACCTGGTGGCGGCCCCGGAGAACGGCTACCCCGTTACCCCCGCTGCCTTGACGTCAGAGGCACCGCTTCCTGGCTGGCGTCTCTTGGCAGAAGTTCAACGGGTGCTTCTTCCCTCGCGGTGGAGACCGTAAAGCTGAATTTCTGTCAAGAGAGATTACCTGCTGAGGAGCTGGCTCTGGTATTGTTGGGTTTCTGGAAATTCCCATCTCTCTTGTTCTCTGGCTGTAAACTTCCTGTGTTTTTGCCTTCAGGCAGAAAAAAAACCCACAACAGATGGTGCTTCTCCCATAGATGCATCTCTGGTCCAAGAAAGGGCACCTGTTGAATTTGTAGCTGCCATTATACAAGTGTCTTTTTTTTAATGTCCCGGAAAGCATTAAAGATGGCAGCTTTAGTACAAGAGGTGGGTGTGTACATGGGGGCAGCAGGCAGTCACTAGTGATTTTCGGCCCCTGCCATTTTTCCTTTAGAAATTTGGAACCCAAACCATACATGACACTGGCTTGTATATCTTGCTGGGACTGTGTGACTGCTGAGAGAGTGTGATGCAGAATGAAAAAGTAGGGCCTGTGCTTTGTGGCAGGGGCACTGAAGACTTGACTTTATGTTTGTGCAGGAATGGCGCAGAGGAGTCAAGAACAGAGCCTTCGGGAAGAGTTGACCTGTGCCATCTGCTTTGATCTCTTCCGGAACCCCGTCATGTTGGAGTGCATGCACCATTTTTGTCAGGAGTGCATCCAGAGCTATTGGAACAGTTGCTCCGATGTGGCCACTTGCCCCCAGTGTCGGCAAGAGTTCCCCACCCGGTCCTTCCGCCGCCAGTACCTTGTTTCTGGGGTAGTGGAAAAAGTGCGAAGGTGCAGCTCCGAAGACTACAGAAGAAAAATGCAGGTGGGCTGTTTTAATGGCAAGATAATTACTGGATCCGTTTTCCCAGGCAGTTTGAAATTTTGCTCTTTTTGGGCTGAGCCGTAATACAAACCTTTCTGTACTCATTGTGGACTTTGGTACCTCTCATATTTGAAGAAGATGGCCGGACTGATAACGGTCAGGTTCCAAGTTTGGGTAGATTGTAGTTTGATATAAACCTAAACGTTTGTGGTTATAACTACAAGAACAGCAAAAATTTAGGGAGGTCTGGTATCTAATAACAGGCAACATCAAGAGCATCTGGACCAGTCAACATCAAGTCTCCTGGAGTACGTAGTACCTCCTAAAATATATTAGGGAGATGTGGGACAGGCATGTTTGGGTCAGCAAAAGGAGTTCTGTGTTAAATTTAAGTGTTAAAAATTCCAACAGGCTGAAAACACAGTGCTTTATTCAGATGCTTGGTAGCCATTGAGCTGGAATCAGGAGACCATTTCTTATTCTGTCAGTAATTCCAGTGAAACAATCTCCACTGCAGGTCCTGAAGCAAAAAGAAATTGCTCTTTGGCAAAGACTTTCTGCCTGAAATCCTGCTGGGCAGCTCCGCCTGTGCAGTAATAATAATAATCTTAGTACTGCAGAGCTGGAAGGGACCTTATGGATCATCAAGTCCAGCCCCTGTCAAGTAGGCACAGTGAGGAATCGAACTCCCAACCTCTGGCTCTGTAACAGATACCTAAACAACTGAGTTATGGTGATGACATCAACAGCGTTGGTAAATAGCTGCTAGTTAAAGGCTTCCTTCAGGATTTTTGGAGTGCACATGGCTTCATTGCATTGTTTTACAAGTCATGTGCACCCCAAAATCACATTTAACCAGCAATGATTTGCCACTGGTGATAATGTAGCGAACTTTGCAGATCCATAGCTGTCCAACTAGATTACAGCCTACCTGTTTTTGTTCATCTGTATAACAGATGCCAAAAAAGTAGGAAATCTGTGGCTAAAGCATCCCTGACGGACAAGCATCCAACTTTGGTTTAAGCACTTCCAAACGTTTTATCAAATATCATTGATCCATATTCTCTTGACACTAGACAAACAAGAGGCTAACCTGGAGGTGGGGGAACTTGTTGCTCTAGTGGTGTTGGGGAACTACAGTTTCCATTATGTCTGACCATCGACTACACTGGGGCTGGTCGGACCTAATTTAAAAGCTTCCCTACCCCTGATCAGAGGCGCATTGGATAAAGAGGAATTCCCAGTCTAGCATTGTCACTTTTCATGGGTTTGTGTCTATTGCTGCTGCTGCAGTCTGACCAGCTACTGTCCTGTTGGCCTCTTCTCAGTTGTCAGTTCCCTCTCTCCCAACTTTTGCATGAGTAAGGTTAGGATATGAGAGCAAGCCTTATCGAACATCACGGAGTAACCTTGGTGGACCTTCTGTGGGATCTGAAAAGATCCACAGAGATTGCTTGGTGAGATTCAGAAGGTCTCGCTCTTGTAGAGACCCTCTGAGAGCAAGAATTTGTTATTTATTTATATTTTTACCCTGGCTTTTGTCATTTAAAAGGACCCTAGGCAGCTTACATCATTAAAATACAATATTTAAAGCTAAAAAATAATTATACAAATACTAAAAAGGATCAAGCAAAAATACTACACTAAAAGTTGATAAACACAAGCAACACCAAAAACACATTCAAAGCAGTAAGTCACAACAAACCCTTTAAGAACCCTACTCGGATAGCCAGTGATTAAAGTAAAGCTTTCCTGAAGAGAAAGTTCTGCTCGTAGAACAACAGCAAAGATGGAGCCAGCTTAGTAGGATGGGTGAAAAGAGGGAGCTAGCAAATGAAAAGAGGCTAATGGAACAGCAGTTGCTCAGGTAGCAGCAGAAGAATAGGCAAGGCAAGGCACAGACATTTTGCTGGAAGAAAGAAAAAATGATGACCTCACAGTAGTTGTAATAGTAAGGTCTGACTGAGGTTATCTGCCTTAGTGTATTTGTGGGTTTGAAGTGCACAAGTATGTGGTGCTTACCAAGAATCCTTTTGAGCTTTTCAGACACCCTCAATCATGTAAGGAGACCAGGTTCTTCTGTCAGCTCTGGGTCTCAGACTCTTCCATTGTCCTGTCCAGAAAGATGAGGACTGCACCCACCAGATAGACCATTGTTAACTACTGTTAACGACCTATACCTATGGGTGGAGAAAGACTGCAGAAGTGGGATTTTTCACTAACCCGCCATCCTTTGTCCATCTAACGAGCCTGTTCAGACCAGGAGGAAGTGAAACCAACATGGAGAATGTATCAGGGGGTCTCTTACCAACTCTCCTCATATTGAAGAAACTACTTGGATGAGTAGTAAAATGTTTCAGCCTAATAAGAAATAAGTCCAGTTGACATGACTCAAGTTCCAGTAAGATCTGACATTTTCCTCTATGAAGCTTAGGGAAGCATTCAGGGACTATCTCACTTATCCTCACAAGAAAACCCGCCATGATCACCCAAGTTGAAAGAATGCAACTCACCCATGATTTCCCCATGATCAGTTGGAACACTCTTCTGGGAGGGGGGCAGCTGTGGCCCTCCAGATGTTTTATGCATAGCAATTGTGTTACATTTAGCTAGTATAACCAATGGTGTGGGACTCTGGGAACTGCAGTACAAAAAGAAAAGGAAAAAAATTGAAGGTTATAGTAACCCACACAAGCATTTCATTGCAGTGTAGGGGTGGTGATTTGCTAGCAAAGTGTGGCTGTCCAGATGGCGGTTGTCACTCCCGTCAAACCTAGTGTGTATATAGCCAATGACTACTAATGCTTGGAAGTGTAGCCTAACAGCATCTGGAGAGCTATGCTTCATCCATGTCCTTCCCAAGTAAGTTCTTAATAGCGGAGATTATTCTGAATGAATAAATGATCTAGGTTTTTTTCTCTCTCTCTTTCTCTTCTGCTTTGCATCCTTAGAAACATCTCCAAGAGGCACTTCGGTCTTATCAGACTGAGCGTCAGAAACTCATGAGAATGAGGCATGAAACTGAAGACAATATCCGCAATCTGACGGTAATGGCTTTTAATTGTTATATGCTGTCAAATCACTTCCAGTTTATGTTGATCCTATGACTTCATGGCCTCCAAAAGGCCCTGTCATTAGCAGCCTTGCTAAGATACTGCATAGCAAACTAAAGACTATGGTTTCCTTTATTGAGTGAATCCACCTCACATTTAGTCTTCCTCTTTCTCTCCGATTTTCTGTCTCCAACCTTCACCCCAGTGTTTTCCCCTCATGCTACTGCTTCTGTCTCCTTACCTGTGAGTAAACCTTGCTTTTGACTAAACTGGTAATCCAAAGACCTGTGTGGATCCTTCTTACAGGAAAATAAACATCTCCAATGTGAAGGATCATTCAAGAAAGGGACAAAATAGATCGCACTAAAGAGAAGAACCTTTTAAGTGTGAACCAGACTGGTACAGATTTCCTTGTCTGGATATACCCAAAGTTACATTATTCTTTTGTAGTATTTTTTTCCCATAATTTTAATGTTCAACTATAATTGGTCTTTAGTAGTGGCACTTTCTGAATTTTTCTTCTGTAGGAAAACTTTCTTTTGGGGTTTCTTGGTTAGATGTGAAATGACAGTGGCATTAGCAGCACAGGCTGCCTGTAAGTCAAAGCGATGTTGTATTGCTCTTCTGACTGCCTGCGAGAAAGGTCTGGAAGAGTGTTAAGTACAAAAAAGATAAAGGCAAGGTTTGAGCTTTGAAAAGTTGATCCAGTCATCAGGGCTGTAAATGAGATGTCTTGCTATTTGTCAGCTTCCATATTAATGGTCTTCTTAAGTCACAGGCAGAAAGATAAAACAGTCAAATAAATAACGGTTGTTTCAGGGTTTGCACAAGGCAAACTAATCATTTCCCAGATAATCATTGATCTGCTCTGGTACCTCAGCGGAAAGGAAGATGGATGCTTCTAACTGCAGAGTTTGCACAGAGGGGGCTCATCAGTAAGGGAATTAGTGGAGAGACCACATAAAGCGCAAGACATTTTTAACACCACTCAAGTCTCTACAAATTATCTCGAACCTTTCTGCATGACACCATGCTTACAAGTCAGATTATACTGGGTGGAATCTAACGTATTTTCCTCAGGAAAACCAGCAAGCATGTCTCTAAAACAATAAAAAGGGAAGAACAGCCCGTGTTTTGCCCCAAATGGAAAATCATTAGTGCTTCAGTTGAAT